GCAAATCACACATTCAATTTCATACTTGACTTAAGGTTCGACTAATTAATAATCACTTCATGTAAACACAACATTTAACACCTCATGCTTGTAGTCATTAGCTACCTCTAACATTAACTACTACAAAGGTGGTGTCCCATTTTCTTATGGCCAAATATAGTATTGAAAGTTAAATCGCCATCTTAAATAAATTTAAACTAGCATAAAATTTCGGAGTATTACAATACTTGTGTAAAAACGAATCTTTTGGAAGAAGTGATATAGAAAGTGCTTCGGAGGCATCGAGTTTTGCATATAGGCCTCGAATTAAACCACTTCGTCCAATGCTCTTCGGTCTTCATGATGCTGAGCTTCAGTTGAGATGTTAATTTTGGCTACGTTGCATTCCACATTGGCTTCAGGGCCTCAACCACCATGCCACGCGCTTCGGCTTGAGTGGGCCAAGGCTATAGTAGATTGGACACATAGAGCCACGTGTAACGAGTCATAACAATAGTCTCCTAAATCCAAGTATAGTCATTTTATGTTATGTGTTGGAGTTTAGAATTAATAGTGCTGTGTCGTGATTAGTACATAAAGTTCACCATTATTGCATTCAATGTGAGTCGAGGAAAGAAATTTTGGGCTGTCGAGACTCATTTCTATGATTGTTGACATTAATTTGAAGTTGAGGTAGGACATTGTTGAACTTAGGGGTGTAAGCGGTCTGATTTTATCGATTTTGACATATTTTCAAATCAAACCGTATAAAACGATTTGAGAAAAACCCAAACCTAAACCAAACCATTTTGAATGGTTTGAAAAAAAATTCAAACCTAAACCTAACGGTTTGGTCCGGTTTTAAACCACCGGTTTCACTATATATTTTTTTGCCCGTCTACTTTTATGTCATTAATTCATTGAATTTAATATATATTTATATCTTACTAGTAATAAATTTAAAACAAACTAAGCCCCTGTCTGAACCAAATTTTTAGGATAAAAAAATGAAAATTTGGACCGTTATCTCACAAGTCCAGCCGCCTTTGTTGACCTGCTGTTTCATGTGTGGGACCCAACATCCTCTCCATTAGTCAATTTTCTCATTATGATGATATGGAAAATGTGGCTCAAACATAGGCTAAATATATCTATTATAAATTTAAATACTAACTAAATTAAAGTGAAATCACAATAAACTAAAACACAGTTTTTTTTCACCTTTTTAGGCTAATGACGATACAATAACGTTACAATAAAAGTCTACTAAACTAGATATAAGGCCCAAAAAATATAATGATGTCTAACAAGATCTTGTGATCATCATATCTGAAAAAATGATACCAATTAAATAAAGAGAATAACCACTCACAATAATAAAGCAATTGTTTATAATATCTAAATATAACAATTACACAAGTTTACATTTGTATGATATTACGAAATGCATTTAATTTCAGATTCTTATCTTAATTTGCTCCAAAAAATTATTGATTTAAAACTTTATTCGTAACAAATATTATCACCGAAAGTATAGAATCTTTGTCTCCGATTTGGTATAATGGACTTCAATTCAACTTTGAAAAGACGTGAAAAATCTGAAAAAGAAGTGTGTGGTGACGATGGCTCAAGACTGTGTTTGGAATCGACTGGTGTTCATCTAAATTTTGAAGAGAAAAAAGGCTTTTGATAGATTATGTTAGTTTTGAAATTATTAGATATATATTAGGATTATTGGTTGATGATGATGATGATAATAATAATAATAATAATATATCTATATTAAAAAATTAGAAATTGACAAAAATACCCCCAAATGATAAAATTATTGAATTTTACATATTTGGATGAATTTTCAAAAAATTTCATCTTTTCATTTTTTTATTTTTATATATTTTTTCACCGGTCATGTTTGGTTTTAAACCGCAATTAAAATTCTCAAATATAAACCAAACCATTTTGACCGGTTTAGTTTGGGTCAAAACCATTTCGTTGACCTGGTTCACGTGGCACCAAACCGACGGTTTCTAAAATGCGGTTTTGGTTCGATTTTCCGATTTTGCGATTTTCGTTTACAGCCCTAGTTGAACTGCCAAGGCTGATTGTGTTATAGTTGTTGAATTTTTGTTTGCAGCCGAGTTAGAGAGATAGTTGAAGTGCCAGGGCTTATTCTCATTGTTATAGCTAAATGTGATTTCAAGTCAAGGCAGGATATGCTGAAATGCTGATGCTCATTTGTTGTGATGATTGTTTTCGTTAATCGTGCCAATGATTTGATGTTTGTGTACATTACCAAAAAACAAGAAAAAGTAGTCTAACTGTTGCAACTTTCGATAGACGTACGACTATTGAATTAAATGCGCAATGATGGATGCATTTGGGGATTTTGAAGGAGACGTGCATGGATGGTTTGTGGGTAGCACGCATTAATTTGAGGCGTTGGTTTGAAAAAATCTTTTGAATTCTACGCCTCAGATTCAAGTAAAAATTGACGGCTCAGATTAAATGGGCCTCAATCTAACGGCCGGGATTCATTTTACCTTCACATAAAAGTAGAATCATCACCACTTTGAAGCCTTTACTTCTACAATGTTCTCTCAAAATGTTTAGCATCTTTTTGTTCTCCAGCGTTCTTCTGTTTCATTAGAGTTCTTTGCATAGGTACTTTCCTGTATAAAGTTCCTTTTTTTGTGATCTTCATCAATTTTGTATTTTTGACATGGATTCTGGGTTAGGTAAAGAATTGGTTACCAAAGCCACATTTAGTGAGGGACAGGAACTAAGGGGTCCGAGGTTGAGCGTTATGCAATGATCGAGGAGTCCATAGATTACGAGGCGGACTGGGGGCTGCTAGGATACTTTCTGCTATGACCCATAAGAGATTAGCCGAACTTAGGGATAGATACTACATGCCCTATAACATAGAAATGTTAGTCCCTGAGGCCCACGAACATTCCTTTTTTTGAGGTCGGGATATGTGGTAGTCAGTGAATACCAGTTTAAAGTAGACACCTCATAGAGATGAGTAAATACTTTATCGATTTTGGACTTATGGCCTCCAAAGGTAAGAGCGCTCATACTTGAGTTTTATTTCAATTTTTTTTTTTTGAGTTCTAACTTCTGTTTGTTGTTGCTTACAGACAAGTTCAAGAAGAGGGAATACTCCACTCCTGACATGGCCAATGTTTTGAAGGCCACTTCTACTGTTGGTGTAAAGGCTTTGAAACCTTCTTTTAGGTGGGTCAAGGATCAGGGAAATAAGCTTGAGTGCCTTAGCAAAAGTCAAACAGAATGGGATACTAATGAGGTGCCCTCAAAGGATGTCTAGGGCAAGAAGGACAAAGGTAAGGGAAAGGCCCCGGATAAACCTTACAAGAAGAGGAAGCTGGTGCATAGCAGTGGCTCTTCGGTGAAGTTCGGGACGACGATGTCTCATTCCAGTAAAGCCCCTCTCATCCAACCGAAGCTAATAAAGTCTACCATGAAGGCAGTAAAAATAGAGAGGGTGCGATAAGTGAATGAGAAGGATGTGAGGGAGGAGGTTGCGAAGGAGGCAGCGGAGAAGGAGAGATGGAGAGGTTTCAGAGGCTTCAAGTAAGCTTGACTTGAAAGGATCCAAGGAAAATCTGTTAGCTTTTTGGAATTGGATCAATATTCAACAAATCTTGTTGGACTTGGACTTGAAGAAAGGAATTAATTGGGTGGTTGAATTTGTGAGAAAGTACACCTCTTCGTAATTATTGCAATAGACTATTTCACGAAGTGGGTTGAAGCCGAGCTTTTGGCCAAAATCACAGAATCAAATACTTCCAAATTCTTATGGAAAAATACCATATGCCAGTTCAGAATTCTCCATTCAATTTTCTCTGACGAAGACAATTTGACAACAAGAAAGTTAAGGACTTATGTGATGAGTTTGGTATCAAGAAGCACTTCTCCACACCACATCATCCCAGGCCAAAAGGCAAGTGGAGGCAATGAACAAAACAAAGCATGTCCTAAAGAGACAGCTAGATACATCGAAAGGGGCATGGGTAGATAAACTACCGCAAGTGCTGTGGGCAATCTGAACCACCACAGGACTCCCACAGGAGAAATTCCATTTTCAATGGCTTACGGTACTGAGGCCATGAGCCGAGTTGAGGTCTAAGTACCATCACCTCGTCGCTTACATTTTAGCTAGATTACCATTGAGGAGCTCCAAAGGTACGACCTCGACTTTATTGATGAAACACATGATGAATCCCTGTTAAGGCTGGCAGCCTATCAAAGGTAAAATGAACAAATATTATAATTCAACGGTGAAGAAAAAGTCATTCCTAATCAACGATCTAGTGCTCCGGAGAGTTTTCTTAGACTCCAAAGAAATAGGGATAAGTACCTTAGGTCCGAACTAGGAAGACCCATATCGAATCAAAGAAGAGATCCGACTGTGAACCTATTGGATAGAAGATTTGGATAGATAGGTACAAACCCGTCCATGTGGAAAATAAAATCAACCTATATAAATGTGATGTGGAGAGTATATGTTATGTGTCAAGTTATTATTGGCCAATATAATTTTTAGCTATATGAATAATTTTGTCTTCAATGTGGAACTTAAAATTGTTAATGAGGGCATTCTGGCCTAAATTATTGTAAAATGGGCATTATAAACTTTTTGCAAATTACCATGTAAAAGCAGACTTTTTTCTTTTTTTTGTAATTTCTGCAATTTAATTTTTTATACATTTTAATCACATATTTTCCAAAATATTATTGAAAATATCATAAAAAATAAAATTCTACATTCTTTTATTTTTCTTAAATTTATAAAAAATATGATGATGTGATTAAAAAAAAAATATTTTCCATCTAAAAATATCAATAAAACCGCCCAAAAATAAAAAATAAAAAAAATACACATTTTTCAATTAACTCCTGTTAAGACACTGACCCCGCGTCCCCCCCCCCCCCCCCCCCCCCCCCCCCCCCCCCTCCCCCCCTCCCTCCCTCCCCCACCATATGTGTCCCCCCCCCGCCTCGCTCTCTGTCTCTCTCTCTCTCTACAGTAGTACAACTTAAGTCATGATTCACCGTCAGCTGCAGATCTAGCTTGATTGCGATTTGCAAAGTGAATAATCATTCACAGCAGCAAGAAATGTTGAGGAGATTGAACTCAGTAACTGCATTTTTACCTCTTTCGCTGCTGTTGCTTTGCCTGCGGATTGAAGCGTCGGTACATGAGTACACCGGAGAGAGGTTCGTGAGCAAGGGAAATGCTTTCGTAGTCCACGGTGGCAGCGAAGGACTCTACGCTTCTATACCCAACCTCAATGAATCCTCACCTCCCGACTCTTTCATTCGGTGAATTTCCTCGATTTCAACCTGAAGCAATTGATTGATGAATTTCTCTCTCTCTCTCTCTCTCTCTCTCTCTCTCTCTCTCTCTCTTTTTGAAATTCTTTGATCAATTACTTCCAATATTTTAAGTTGGATCGACTGAATCATCTGTGCAGTAAATTAACTTAGAAACTGATGTCGGTAATTTCTAAAGAAGCAATTATTGGCAGTGCGTGAAATAGATCATGAAAGAAAATGAAGGAGAATTACTTTATGTTTTTGCTTGTTGTGAAAACGCGGAAACCAGATTTTCAAATTTATGGTGAGAAGAACAGCTAAACTTTCACTCTTTTGGTGATTTCTGGGTTGCAAACGCTGTAAAATATTTTCATAATTCTTTTTGGTAGTGTTGAAAAATGGACTTAGTTTATATGAACAAAAGGGTAATAATGTTATATTCCATTTTTCTGATGGTGTAGTACTAGCCTTCTAAATCCGTGTATCAGAGAAAATTAGAACATCATCTGCTAAGCAAGTAAATGGTCTAGAACTATGAAAACATATTTTGGTTTTCCATTCGGAATGCATGCATTTCCCAATTTATGGTTCTAAGTGATTTGGTTTCTAATTTATAACTGCATACAAAGACCCACGCAAGAACTGACCATTGATTTGTCTCCAAACCAGCTTTGAAAAGATTATATTTCAAAGACCTGGAGAAATTTCAAATATCAGCTCAGGGTCAATTCATGCAATTGTATTTGAAGTAGACGATAGAGAGACCATTGGGGGCTCAGCCTATGGGGGTCAAAGAGCTGTATGCTGCACAGCAGATCTTGCAAAACTTGGAGTTTGTACACAAGGACAAATCATTCACCGCCCATCTACTTATAATCCTGGTTGGCCTCAAGTATTTGGTGTATCATTTGATGTTGATAAGGTAGAGACTATTCTGCCACCAAGATCAATACAGATTACAAAATCTGGGATGTACAATATGTATTTTATTTATTGCGATCCAAATCTCAAAGACGTTATTGTCAAGGGGAAAACCATCTGGAAAAATCCTACCGGTTACCTACCTGGTAGAATGGCACCCCTTATGAACTTCTATGGCTTCATGTCTCTTGGATTTGTGGTTCTGGGAATCTTCTGGTTCTCCCAGTATGCAAGACACTGGCGAGAAGTTCTTCCATTGCAAAACTGTGTGACACTTTTAATAACATTGGGAATGTTTGAGATGGCATTGTGGTATTTTGATTATGCCGAGTTCAATGAAACTGGAGTCAGACCAACTGGGATCACTGTATGGGCAGTCACCTTTGGAACTGTGAAACGTACTGTTTCGTGGTTGATCATCCTTATGGTTTCTATGGGTTATGGTGTTGTTAGACCTACATTAGGCGGTCTTACATCTAAAGTTCTTATGCTTGGAACAACCTTTTTTGTTGCATCTGAAGTGCTTGAACTGGTCGAAAATGTTGGTGCTGAAAGTGATCTTTCAGGCAAAGCTAGACTGTTTTTTGTACTTCCTGTGGCTATTTTGGATGCTTTCTTCATTCTTTGGATTTTCACCTCCCTCTCTTCAACCTTGAATAAGCTTCAGGTACTTTGTTCTTCATTTATGTGTAGTTGTTTCGTCTTAACATATTAAAGCTGGAATTCCTTGAGCTAGGCATTTTATTTGGTTTTTTATGGGTCCTCTATAAACAAAATGAAACTGTATAAAATGCAAGTTTGTATTTTAATGATAGAAGTGTTACTTTTGAAGCCCTTGTTGCATTATTGAGCTACACTATGAATGAAGTTCCCCTCGATGTTCATCTTTTCACTTTTGCCTGTGAGTGAGCTTATGAGACGCATCCAAGAGAGATCCTTCGTATATGTATTCTTGATGACATAGCTCTAATTAATGAAATGAGGAGGGGATAAATTGACTTTTCGAATTTAATAGTGATTATATTGTCTCGAAGAGTAATTGTTTTAGCGTTTTAAGTATAATATCTAATATGGAGGACTTATAAAGGATATAATGCATAGAATTAAAGCAGGTTGGACAAAATTGAGAACTATTATATGAATTCTGTGTGATTGAAAAACAACTATCACATCGAAGTGCTAGTTCAATTAGACTAGTTATGCTTTAAGGTACCAAGTGTTCGATCATTGAGGAACAAAATATTCAAAAGATGATCTTAGCGGAATAAGGAGGTTAATATGGACAGGTGGCATACCAGAATGGCTTAGTAAGAATGGATATGTATGTCTACAAGTGAATGTGGCACCAACTTAAAATAAATTAATGGAACAATAACTGAATATTTAGCAAATATGTTACCTAGAACCAAGGAAACTTCTATTTGCAATAGTAATGATATCCCACTGAAACAAATCGGTAAAATTGGTTGAAAGAGAGGAAAGGCAAAAATAGCATAGCATGTTGTAGCATGTTGTCTGTTAAACTAAAAACATCAAATAATCTACAACTAAACTAAAAACATCAAATAATCTACAGATGAATAACTGCTGAATTTATATTTTAATTTTTTCACAACTAAACTAAAAACATCAAATAATCTACAGATGAATAACTGCTGAATTTATATTTTAATTTTTTCACACTTTTTTTTGAACTAATAAACTTCTAAACAGAAAAAAGGTTGCTGCTATTGTTGAGACAATTCTTCTTGTTTTTGTGCTGTTCTCAGATTTTGGTACATGGTTTGGGAGTATGCATATATTTAGATGAGACAACTCGTTGATTAAGGTCTTAGATGGGTGATGGAAGGTTGAGGCTTGTGTATGGATTTGATGAAAATGATTGGTTAATTTTTGGATTTGATATCGAGTGATGTCAGGTCTAAGGAAAATTGACGCAGCACCAACTCGAACAATTAATTGAAAGTTAGAATGGATCTATGGAGAAGAGGGAAACAAGGGAAGAACGGGATAGAATAAGAGTCCACTGAAGAATCAATAGGAGAAAAATGGAGAGAAAAGAGAAAATTGCCACAAGTCAAAAAATAGTTTTATTCAATCATCAACTGTCTCGATTACATGGCAAATGAGATTTAAACAACAAAATGAAACCCTAAAGAGAAAAGGCCAAGCCCCTGATATAAGTCCATAAATAATAGTCCAACTAAAATAAGCAAAATAAAAGTCCAAATATAATAAAACAAATATAGGTGAATGATGTCCTTCTCAACACTCTCTAGGTAGGAGAAAACTCGACCCTGTTGAGTGGATATATCACTAGAGGCTGCAGTTATTCTGATACCCAAAATGCTTCAAGTCATGCCACGGGGACGATCTTTCTGACGAACCAAATATCAGAAATCAACAAATGATGACAACACCATTTGCAAATTATCCCCAAGCATATGATCCGACCAAGATGAACTGGGTAAAGGAAGATCTTGCTGACTCTTATAAAGTTCTAATTAATCTGGATTACGCTATTGAAGTTTCTTTTCGAGGATCTATGTACCAATAGAATCAAGTCGATCCACCCAACAAAAAAAGAGCATTGAATCTCTCTATCATTGGTCAACACAATCTGATCATCTAAAATAATATCAATCTTATCTTTGTGTGCTGTGATAGATGGTATTGGAGTAGACATAGCAAAAGATTCAGTGTCTAAATTCCTTTGTGGAGGTAGAAAATGATCATCAGAGGGATTAAAATAGCCATTGTAAGCAACGAAGTCCTTAACAGTTAAAATAGAATGATGGCCAAAATGTGATAGAAGATCAATGACACATGTATTTGAACCAACATGCTTTAAAATTTCATAAGGACTAGCACTATAGACTTGCAATATAACATAATCCTCAATATTAAACTCTACATATCGGTCATGCAAATCAGCTTGGAGTTTATATATTTTACATTACTGGCTTCAAGTTGTTTATTGATCTCAATATGCAAATCACGAAGATGTAAAAATGTTTCGGCTAACACTGACACTCTAGTACGTGGGGACATAGGAATGAGATCTAACGACTTCCTAGGCTTACACCTATGAACAACTTCAAATAGACTCATATCTAATGATCAATTTATGGAACTGTTTTACACAGTTTGAGTTATAGGAAGGATCAAATCCCGAATTCTAAATTTTTTCTTGAAAAGGGCATGATTACACAAATCATTAGTATCTTTGGGTTGGATAAGAGTATGTACACAACATTTGATTGAGAGGTATTGGGAACAAGGGATAGAATACCTAGGTTCATAGGAACAGTCCGAATACTATCTAAGGGGGTGTTTTCACTAACATCCAAGTCATCAAATTCTTTAAGTTTAGGTTTATAGATTTGATTTTCTGAACGCTTATATATTATATTCTTTTGTTCTTCAATGACTAAGGCTCGGCTAGGACATTCAGAAGAGATGCAAAATCCTTAGAATTGAAGTAATGCAAGTGACAAGAAGCCCTTGGAATTTTAGAAAATTTACCCTTATTTTCCAATACGAGAGAAACATTATATGGGAATGGCCTTTTGATAGACTTAAGAAAAAGCAGCTATGACGAGATTGGTGGACGATGGTGATCGCGGTTTTCATATGGAGTACTAATAAGTAATTCATAATCTCGAGCTAAAGAGTAAGCGTGATCAAGAGTAGTGATGCTTTGGGAGAAAAGCTCACGCCTAAGTTCATTTCTTAGACCTTGTATAAACCTACTCAAAGTCAAGGCCTCATCCTCAACGATATGACATTTTATTTGAAATTCCTTAAATTGAGCAATGTACTTAGTTACTAGCCGATTCCCTTGTGTAAGGGTGTTCCATTAGGTTACAATTTCATGATCTAAGCAACCATCGAAAGTAGGAGTACCTAATTTAAAGTCTCTAAAGAAACGCTCCTTATGACAATAAAGAGAATGAGTACCATGACGATCATGACCTCGTTATCGCTCACGAACTGATCCCTATCCCTACGATCGTGTTGAAAATATTTTTGATTATCTTGTCGACGACAATATTATCTATTGTGGGACACTTCAGATTTATGAACATCAGTCAAATGAGGGATTTGTTTTAAATTGTTCAGACTAGCAGTTAGATCTCTACTCTTCTCAAGAGTAGTGGCTATCTCGATTTGGACAGCTGCTAATTGAGTTAATAAGTGGTGCTGGCTAGTGGCAAGTTGAGCTAATTGTCTAGTGAGTGCATCAAAGTGAGATAAGTCCATGGTAAATGTACTGAACATAGAGGCGACAAAATGACCACTACGTAACTCATGCAATGTAATACCAGCTAAATGATATGCAATGGTGAGATCAATGAACAATAAGTGCAAGCAATGAAAAATAACCACTTGAACATTTTTTAATAAATTTCGGGATTAAGTAAATTCAAATATGGCAAGCTATTACTACTGATTTGTGTAGAATAACAAGCACGGATCAAATACTAGTCAAAACCTAATCACATAAAATAAGTGGAGATAAAATGGGGTTTTGACGAAATCAAGGGATTCATCCACGTGATTTTAGGTATATTATTAGAAAAACAGCAGCACAAAAATTTAATGGATGCAATTTTAAAATGAAACAGTATTAATCAAAAACTCCCTGTTGTTTAGTTGCTCGAATTTCTGACGCGTGGGCCCCAATTATGCTCGTGTCCTTTCCTTCGTGTCAAATGTCTTCAGCTCCTGAAATCACCCCAGTTGCATCTTGTAGTGTAGTCGTGTGGTGAGTAGAGGATGGTGGGTGATTGTGATGTATGCTGGTTTATGGCTTTGGCTCTGTTGGCAACGACTGGAAAGTAGTGAGATGGTGGTGTTGGCTATTGGTGCGTACTGTCGTAGGCACTCCAAAATAAAACGTATACTTCTTAAAATTAATGTAGTAGTGGAAGTAAAAGTCAATCCCACGAAGAATGATTAATTTACTTTTTGATGCAATATTAACTAAAATGGGGGGTTTTGGTTTCCTTGAAATAATACAAATCATCGAATTAAATATAAGCAATAAAACAAACCTTGATATAAGTCAACATCCATCGTTGAAAATTAATAACCGGTCATTGATCCACAAACAATCATCAATTCATAATTGTAGCATTCATTATGAAAAATAAATTTCTCATTCGAAACAATTTTTCTATTTCTTCTTAGTTTTAATTAATTAAAAATAAGCGATCTAATTAATCCTCATTATCAAACAATCCTAGACAAGCCCGAGAATTTAATTTAATAATGGTTTTGCGAATTAGAGAAATCAATGAACTAGATAACACAAGCCAAGCGTTTGCATTTAACCTAGATAAATCTTCTCCCTACGATTTAATAATTTCCAACCAACAAATTATCAATCTTAGTTGCTTCATAAGTTAAACCATTCAGCAATTACAGTTTTGAAATTTAACTTAGCTATAGATTATTGATATTAATAACCTAGCGTGCACTCTAGAAATCAAACACAACAATCATAAAAATAATTACAGAAGAAGATTTAATACTAAGCATATGAATTAATCAATAAAAATAAGGTGGATCTCACAGTTTAATTGTTCCAAGGCTTCCGTCTCCTTCGATCAAGCAAAAGAAATTAGTTGCACGTCATAGATCTTGAGCACAAAGAGAGAAAAATAGGGTTGGGGGCGTTCTCCCCGTTTTGGACGAGATTTGGGGCTTATATATGGTGTACAAGATTTGTTTTCATAAGTATTTGATTCAAATTAGGAAATTAAAAATTGCGTGTCGGAAATGAACTATGCGACCGCATAATTATAAGTGTTATGGTCTCATAGAACAATGATTTGTAGCCTAAAAGTTCTCTGAAGGTCAGAATGAGACCGTATTGGATTTGAACTATGCGACCGCATAGAACAACATTTTTCCTGCCGGACAGCTTTCAGTATTTTGATCGTAAGTTTCTTTTTCGATGTCCGATTAAGGTGATTCAAAGTGCGTTAAAAAGCTAACTCAAAGAGCTACAACTTTTCTTCAGATGTTATCTTCCGATTCGATCGTTTACCATGTCAAAAAGGGGTCCCAATATGATACTGAAAATCGATGCATAACCTTTTCGATTGGAAATTGCTGTGTGGTTATACTTTAATTATATTTCATCCCTTTGACTTCTTTCCTCATCCACTTGACCTTTAACACTCTTGAATCTTCATCCCACTGCTCCTCTCAACTAGGGATTATTTGCAACTTGGTCCCTGAGCTTTCATCTTCTCTTTTCTTGGCATCTTTTTCTTGTTTTCCTTTTTCCAACATTTTAAGTCTTCCATCAATTGACCTTCAAATCTTTCACTCCTTCGTTTCTCTTTCCGATTCAACTTTTGGATATTTGCATTTTAGTCTGAACTTTTGATTTCTTTCATTTAGGTCCTTTTTCGCTCTTTCCTTTTATTTTATGCTATGATCATCCAAATGCAACCTAAATCACAATATAAGGGTACTTGGCATATTTAGGTGTTAATTAGTCATAAAAATGCAAGAATTAATGGATGTAAATCACGACATTTCATATCTTATCAGCTACTGTTTGAGTAGTGAAGTAGTAGGTGATGGATGAAAAGATGTTGTTGTGGAGTAATAGGTGTTGTGGTAAGAACGTTGGAGACAAGCAGAAGCAAGTTGGTGGTGGTAGTTGGGAGTTGGCCTATGAGGAGTGGCGGCGAGAGGCTGTAGTATAGGTGGTGGCGACAATAAGGACTGTATAGGAGTCAACGGGTGGGCGAGTGGTTAAGGGCGAAGGTGGTTGATACTAGGAGTTTCAGGTTGCGGTTGGTGTGGGGGTGGAAGTGTGTGGGGTTTGGGTCGATGTTGTTAGTCCTGTTGGTGGCGGCGGCAAAGGTAGGAGTGCAAGTAGGAGCGGTGACAAGGAGCGGTGTTGGCGCCTGGGGGGTGACTAGTTAAATTGATGGGGGCTTGTTAAGGCAAATGAATGAAGAAACTGTAGAATTTCTATGATACCGGGTGGATTAGGGTTGAAGATGACGGCGGCGGTGATAAAGCAGGTGACGTGGCCGCCGCCGACAAGTGTTTTCGTCCTACAAGAAGCAACAGAGTCCAATGGTCAGATTAGGGTTGTTAGGACGAGGAGGATGGTGGTGGTTTTTGGCCAGGTTAGATATTTGGGAATTGGGCCTGTGTTATGGAGATGGGAAGGAGAGTGGATCGTGTTATGGAGATGGGCCGATTAGGGTTGATGTCTTATTTGGGGAAGAAAGAAACTTGGGGCTGAGTCAATTGAGTTTTTGGTTGGGTTCATTGATTTGGAAAACAGATTAATGATTTGGGTAGTGGGCTGGATAGCTGGGTCTTTTTATGATAGTTAGGTTGAGTTATTGGGTTGCATGAGTTGAAGTAATTGGGTTATTAGGCTCGAATTAGGAAAAGGTTCTCGGGCTTATATAGCAACACACTTGCTTGGCAGCAGGAAAAATGAGAAAGAAAATTGATGAAATATTAAAGTGGAATTATTATTTTTTTTTAGAAACTGATGAAATACTAAAACTGACTTTTTCTCCCCGATGAACAGTAACTTTTTTATCACTCTTTTTTTAACAAAGAAAGAAAATCGAAAAAAAAAAGAAAATTGCTGCCTCAAAACAAATTATTTCGTTTGTGTTGCTCTACAAGTTTTTGGGAAGAGTGTGAAACTATTTTGGATTGTAGATGAGAAATTACTCAAGTTTCGACTCTGATACCAAATTTCATGCAGCACCAACTCGAACAGTTAATTGAAAGTGAGAACGGTCTATGGAGGAGGGAAGTAAGGGACAAACAAAACAGAATAAGAGTCCACAGAAGAAACAATAGGAGAAAGATGGAGAGGAGAGAAATTTGCTCCAAGCCACGAAAATAGTTTTATTCAATTATGAACTTTCTCGATTACATGGCAAATGAGATTTAAATAATAAAATGAAATCCTAAAGAGAAAAGGCCAAGCCTAATTATATAAGTCCATAAATAATAGTCCAACTAAAATAAGCAAAATAAAAGTCAAAATAAAAGAAAACAAATATAGGTAAATGATGTCCTCGTAAAAAACGAATTGTCCTGATACCAAATTGATGGAAGAGCTATAATTTGTTAACGAGAAAGGGGTGCAAAAAAGAGAAGATTTGAAGGCAAAAGGAAAATCAATGTTCATTCATATATTCTAATTTTGTATTACATTGAAGAAGCCCCTCCCTTTATAGAGCAAGAAACTAAAAGAAGTTAAAAGGAAACAAAATCTTAATAAACTATAATTGTATCAAAATATCAAAACAAATCTTATTTAATCTAATTAGAACTAAACTCAATTTAAAACTTATATTTAAACTCTATATATTTATTCGTATCTTGATCTCCATTGCTTGGATTCTCCAAGCATAATCGGTTCAGAGACATAAGTGACTTGCTAACTGAAATTTAATTATGATTCTTAGAGCCACTTTGATTGCATCTTGTTCTGTTAGTGGGAATCTGTCCAATCATGGTTCATAAGATGGCAGTTCCTTGTTCTTTACCTTCATACTTCATAATTTGGTTTCGTGGAACTTATATTTAAACTCTATATATTTATTCGTATCTTGATCTCCATTGCTTGGATTCTCCAAGCATAATCGGTTCAGAGACATAAGTGACTTGCTAACTGAAATTTAATTATGATTCTTAGAGCCACTTTGATTGCATCTTGTTTTGTTAGTGGGAATCTGTCCAATCATGGTTCATAAGATGGCAGTTCCTTGTTCTTTACCTTCATACTTCATAATTTGGTTTCGTGTTCAAATTCTTCCCATTTCCTCACTCTATTCCGCCTCCCTCCAATCCCCTTCCCCAATGGGAATTTCCTATGCTCTGGCATCTGCTCTCCGATTTGTGGAATTACAAATTAGTGTTAACTCAACTGATTTGTTCATTGCATTATGTCTCAGGCTAGAAGGATGCTAGCCAAACTAGATATTTACAGGAAGTTCACAAATGCATTAGCTGTTGCTGTTGTTTTGTCTGCGGGCTGGATTTGCTATGAGGTAATGTTTGTAATCTAGGAAATTATGCTGATTTTCAACTTGTTTTCAACTCATGGTTTTTTAATTGTAACAAGCATAACTTTATGAACCAGGAAAATGTTTCATAAAAATTGCCTTAAAAGCTATACTTACGCTGACAACTTGGTGATAACCACCACCTTCTTCGTGTTATACGAGTATTTTCCAATAATTGATTATGGCCCCAATGTGTGCACGAAATTAGATTATTTTATAAAGTCTACGTTAAATCAAGAATTTCTTATCAATTGTGGTGTCGAATTGAGAAACGGTGACAATAATTTCTTACTTCAAAACTTCTCAGATACTGTCTGATCAAATCGGGTTATATTGTCAGTTGACGACAGATTTGAAAGAGTTGACTGATACAACAAATAGATGTGAATATTCTAACATTATTTATAATGAAAACTATCTTATATTTTGTATTTCATAATGTTTCCACGTTATAAAACATTTCATGACTTTGTTTTGTGCAGCTTTATTTCAAGTCAAATGACATATACAATGAGCAATGGAAAAACGCTTGGATTATTCCTGCCTTCTGGCAAATCGTGTCTTTCTTCCTCCTGTGCGTCATCTGTGCTCTTTGGGCTCCATCTCAAAACTCAATGCGGTAAATACCTGACTCTCATCTTCAGAATGCACGTGTTCAATTTTCAGCTTTGATTGTACTGAGGGCTGCAGCACCACTTGGGCATTGAACGCCATCCCTAGGTTATAATTATAACCCTTAAATTGGACAAGTTCCCAGTTATATCATTAGTGTTAAAACTAGTTTAACCCTCATGTTGTAATTAATATTGCCGTTGTGCTTATTTTCAGAGTTGAAAGTAGAAAACATACTAAATTTATAACTATATTTGGGTACAAGTCATTATTATAATCACTTCCATGATGGAATCGTCTTTACCCCAAACTATACTAAATTTATGCTGACATTACGTCTTCATCATGAATTATGGAAATCATAAACTGTTAAATAGGAAATGTGCTGGTTTGAGTCCAATTTTCAACGTTGGCCAATTTCCCAAAGTTTTTGCTGGTGATTTATAGCGGTGAACAATGTTTTCAAGTTTTCAACTGTTTATGATTCAAAATTTTTATTTTTCTTCTTTTGTTTATTAACAGATATGCTTACTCCGAGGATGCAAGTGAAGCATTTGATAAGGAAGATACTTTAACGCTCATTAAACCTTCCCCACTGAGCTCAAAAGAGGGTAGGAGTCCTTCCGAGCTCAGACCAGCAGAAAGTGGCAATGGTTTATCCCATGGAAATCCTGAGGAAGACAAGATTGAGTAAAGTAAAAGATTTAATTTATTTGGCAGAGGTTCCATGGCCTAAATGATCATATTGAGTTTCGATCAACGTCCTGCAGAAATGATGGTTTGGCAGTTGGGAAGGTCATATTAACCTTCATAAGTTTGTCGTTTCGGGCTTTTTTTATTTTTTATTTTTTTCTGGAGCTTTTGCATGTTTACAAGTGCTTCATTATTACTTTGTAAGCTTTTGTTGTAGACCTAATGCTTCTTGACAGTTTAAAGCTAACTATATGCGCTTAAATACTTGACCAAATTGTTTTCCTAGAAAAAAATTGTTTATTAAAATTATCATAATGCTGGAACAACCCTGTCTCGGGCGAATAATTCGTAAAAACAGTAAAAATGTGTTGGATTATTTGATATTGCACCACTATACATCTAGAATTTGTTTGTCTCCCATTTTAGGAGAAAATATAGAGTTTTGAATAATAATTTTTGGAGAATGTGTGGTTGAAATTTAAAGAAAATTATTGGTTTGTGTGTAGAATATTTTATTGTGTAAATGTGTGTTGAAGAATATTACTGTAGCAAATAATTTATTTTGTTAAATGATGACAAACATTTAGTTAACTAAAAGTAGAAGAGTCATTTATGAGTTATTGTTCACAAGTCGGATTTGTGGTCGGCTCAGCCATTTTGGATTAAGCTGAGTTAGCTGAGTCGCTTGAAAGTTTTGAGGCTTTACTCCAAAACAAAAGAACTCCTTTTCATCTCTGTTTTCACATTCTTCGTTGATTTCCTCTCTTTTATAAAATTGAACTAGAATGCAAAAGTGACTTGAATTAGCCCTAATTTAACCTAATATGTAAATACACATGACTCAACTGAACTAGAATGCAAGTGATATTTGAATGTGAATGAATATTAATCACATTAGGATCACGAATCCCTAAGCAATGTTCACTTTTAACTCATTTCTTGCATGCCACCGTGAATCCCCAAGCAATGTTCACTTTTAACTCGTTTCTTGCATGCCACCATGCAATTGCATGGTGGCCATGTTTGTCCCGAATGTGACAATTAAGTCTTGATTTTTGATTTCTTGCGTTATGACTTCTTTTCTCCATTGTTCATCGTCCAATAATTCAGTTCTTCAACAAATTGGTCCTTTAACATTTTCGTTTGCAACTCCGGTGCATCTTTTGGCGTATTTGCATTTTGGTCCTTGAACTTTCATTATTTTTCATCTTGGTCATTTTTCTTCATTTTCTTCCTTCTATCATCTTATATTATCCCCGAGTTGATACTTAGCTCGTTTGCATTCTCGATTCACCTTTCGAGTTAACTTTTGATTATTCGAACTTTAGTCCTTGAATTTTTGTTTTCTTTCATTTTGGCCCTTTTTCGCATCTTTTTTTCTTGAATTCCGTCACATCCATCAATATGATCCTACAAAACAAAATTACATCGAATTAAACCATATTCAACCAATTTCATCAACAATTAATCATGTTTTGTGGATCGAATAAGTATGTAAAAAATCCACTTATCATGGAGACTCTGGTTGCACGAATCCACCCATGGATCTTTGTCTCTAGAACCTTCCACTCAAGTCTTTGTATATCCTCAATGCTTAATTTCTCAATTCCAAGCTTCTTGAAGCTGGCGTCCACTGCAGATTTCCTTACACTCCCGTACACTTGAATACCGGTCAACCTCGTGGTGATCGCTTTCAAATATCATTTTGTCACGGGCATCCTCTGGCACCTTCGAATTCCACCAGAGGATATATCTTCTCAGCTGAATCGAATGTCAAGGCGACGTCGGCATTTTCTCTCGGTGGTTCCATGGAAACTGGAAAAGTATTTTTCCTTTGCAAAGGAAAGGAGAAGAGATAATAATGATTGAAAATGGATAGTTTTTTTCAATGGATTTATCATTCTTCATTCTTATATATCTATTCATATTTTAAGAAATAGCATCTCCTTTAATAATTCAATAGTTTCAACTTACTGTAGTTTTTGGTTTTCACAGAAAATGATGAGTAGCGAGCATTGCAAAACTTGTAATCGACTCTCTCCCCCAAGTTTTCCAATTGGAGGAACGGGTTATCACAACTTGGTTGTGAATTTTGATTGGGTAATTATTAAGAATAAAACTAAAATAGTTAATTCAGTTCGGTCCAATTCTTATCAAAATCAGAACATATCCATTCTTAATAAGCACAAACAACTTACATGATAGTAGAGTTTAGACGTTTATGCAGTAACAAGAGGTTATTACACTCTCTGATATGCAGATTGAAATTTAAAAATGAATAAAAATGCATTATAACTTTATTTAATTATACTTCACCATAAGTATGGTATGTGTGTGGAAATTCACTCCAAGGATTGTTAAATTGTTGTTTTTCAGACTCACTTTTCATGTTACCTTTCTCTACCAATCAATCAATCCAAACGGCTTCAATCAATATCTAATATATTCACCTCGATAGCTTCTCAATCTCAACCACAAAGGATAAAATAACAGTGATGATTTGCAAGCGACAAGGACAGAAAAATAATGGAAGAAGGCAAGAAAAGAACCAAAATACAAAAACGAATCCACTAGTTTTTGGTAGCACAAAAGACAACCGGATTTCTTCTCTTGAGGCACGTCTTTTTCCCACTTTCCTACACATAAATTACATACTAAAAATAGCTAGGGTATGCTCGCGCACACACTGAGATTTATTGGGTATCAGAACCCAACAGTATGCCTTTGCTAAAAAAATGGTGTAATGTCACTTAAACTAAATAGGCATACTCTTTTAAACATGCAAACATCTAAATCTTTTACTACTAGACCTGCACGGCTAGATAAATCATTGAAATAAATGGTATAATAATTGTTGACCTCGGAAATTGGATCCTCCACGTGGCCAACCGATAGCCACTCCACGTATTCCTCCATGTGCACAATCAACGCACGGTCAAATGCACACGGTTGGGACTAGCGGGGGGTGGCGACATCGTATACACTCCGACGGTCGAGTTAGGCTCAGGTGATCGGAACAGTACCAAGGTTGTGCAAAATAGTGGGGAGGAGAATATATGTTTACTTGCTATGGAGTGCTAAATAGAAAGAGTATCATTACCTTTGCCTCTTGCCAAACCTAGGGTATTTATAGGTGAGGAGAGCCGTTGGATGTGAGACACGTGTATATATCTGAACGGTATGAGGCGTCTGCTCATAGGCATCAATTAGCCGCGTTTGTAGAGTGGGCGGGTAGTTACTTCTCCTGAGTTGGGTTGACATAAAGTTGATAAGTCACATCAACTAGCCTTATGGAGATGTCAAATCACTTTAAACCTTAGGGGCAGAAAAGATCTTGACAAAGATCTTATTCTGAAATCGGCGGTGGATCCTCAGGCTGAGGTCCACGAGATTCATTTCCCCTCGGATTCAGGGGGTTAGGGCGCTTCGGTCAATCTTGTAGAATTACCTGTGCCTCGTAGTGTGATAGCAGGTCATCTCCATTGGTGAAGTCACATCGGAACCACTTAGGGAAACCACTTCGGATGAGCGTTCCACGCCTCACCTGATGTGGTGGTGGACTTTTTGAAGTGGTTCAGTTAGGGGCGTAACAGTGGTCCCCCAAGTCCATGTATGAATATTTATATCATGGGTGGACTTGTCTTCCCGATCGGGTATGTGCGCCTCGGGTTGGGGATCGTGACTTGTCAGAACTTGAGGGTCGATTTTCTGGGTTCACCGAACGTTGATCATAGGCAGATGCAAAATCTTCGCCACTGTGTGAGGGAGAAAATTTATGTGAGGTCGAGGTGCTAACGAGCTAGACGATGTGTGGGGGAGATGGTTAACGCAGCGGCCGAGGCGATGACCAATAGGGGACTCCGCGTCAGGTGCACTTAAGTTTTGTAAAGTTGAGTGAGGAGCTCATCTGCCACTGGTGCGCTGACCCACAGGGGACGACGAGTTGGGAGATGGCCAAAACTTTGTAAAGCTTAGGAGGGAACATAGCTACCGAGGCAATGACCAACAGGAGACTTCGCGTCAGGTGCACCTAAACTTTGTAAAATTGAGTGAGGAGCTCATCTGCCACTGATGCACTAACCCACAGGGGACGACGCGTTGGGAGATGGCCAAAACTTTGTAAAGCTTAGGAGGGAACGCAGCTACTGAGGCGATGACCTACAGGGGACTCTGCGTCAGGTGCGCCTAAACATTGCAAAGTTGAGTGAGGAGCTCATCTGCCACCGGTGCGCTGACCCATAGGGGACGACGCGTCGGGAGATGGCTAAAACTTTGTAAAGCTTAGGAGGGAACGTAGCTACCGAGGCGATGACCCACAGAGGGCTCCGTGTCAGGTGCGCCTAAGCTTTGTAAAGTTGAGTGAGGAGCTCATCTGCCAATGGTGCACTGACCTACAGGGGACGACGCGTTGGAAGATGGCTAAAACTTTGCAAAGCTTAGGAGGGAACGCAACTACCGAGGCGATGACCCACAGGGGACTTCGCGTCAGGTGCGCCTAAGCTTTGTAAAGTTGAGTAAGGAGATCATTCCGAGGCGGGTGTATATGATGTTAAGTGATTTGATAGTTGTTGCGTATTTCCAAGGTGACAGTTGGGCAATGACCCACAGGGGACTTCGCGTCAGATGCGCCTAAGCTTTGTAAAGTTGAGCGAGGAGATCATTCCGAGGCGGGTGTATATGATGTTAAGTGATTTGACAGTTGTTGCATATTTCCAAGGTGACAGTTGGGTGCAGCGCCCATTCTCTAAAAGGCTGCTGCGGCTACTTATTGTTGACGGCTGGTGGTGACCAAGGCGACGCGTTATATGCGAGCGTGAGGGTCACGGCAAAATCTTAGGCATAAATCAGATCTAGAGTTTTCATTTCAACGGCCTAGATTGATGATGCGACGGACGACCTAGATTTTGCATTGGAATTCAACGGTGGGGATTAGTTGGAGCGCTCTATAAAAGACGGACTTGAGCATTTTTTGGAGTTTTCACTCTTGCAAAAATAGAAAATCCCATTACTCTCAAATCTCTTTGCGATTTTTGGCGTTCTTCAAGCGTTTCTGGCGAGAACTTTGATTTTTCGGTGATCAAACACCACTTTTTGACCATTTTCGGCTAGGAAACACTCAAACTTGTAAGTTTTAGTAACTATTTTGAGATATTTCCTTTCTGAAAATGGCTTCCGAGGGTAGTGCTAGTTCGGGGAGGGGGCTGGAGTTAGTACGGATGGACGAGCCCATTGTAGTGACCTCCTCCAAAGTAGCCGAGGCGATACTTGGGGGGGGGGAGAATATTTGGAAGAGGCCGGATAGCCCAGTAGATACC